CCAACTCCTTGCACATACCATGAAGCAGTGTCAGAGCAGTGGGCCTCTCAGTGGAAAGCGGCCATGGACTCAGAGATGGCGTCCTGGATATCCACAGGCACCTACGTCGACACAGTCCCCTCTCCGAGGCCGAACGTAGTCGACGGCATGTGGATCTTTAAGGTGAAGCAAACTCTTGGATCTCCGCCTTTCTTCAAGGCGCGCTACGTGGATTGGGGGTTCAGTTTGCGTGAGGGAGTTGACTTCTTTCAGACGTTCACCACAGCCCCGAAGATGACTACTCTTCGGATGTTACTTCACGTTGCAGCACAGCGAGATTACGAGCTGCATTCCCTCGACTTCTCTACTGCCTTTCTCCATGGCCGCCTGCATGCTAAGATCTGGTTGCGGCATCCTCCTGGATTCACTGGCATTTTCCCTCTTCGGACTTAGTGGAGCCTGAGACGACAAGTCTACGATCTTCGCCAGACGCCCTGTGAGTGGCACAACACGCTACGCACCACTTTGGCTGACCTTCGTTTCTGCCCTTCATCCGCCGACCCGTCGTTGTTTGTTCGCAGAGGCTCCACTCCTTTCTTTTTCCTTTCCTACGTCGACAAATTGGTCTTCGCTACACCAGACAGGGTTGCTCTGGCTGAGGTGAAGTTCGAACTGTAGAAGGGACACACGTGCACTGACCTGGGTGAACTGTGCCGCTACCTTGGCTTGCAGATCATTAGGGACAGAGTCGCTCGCACCATTACACTCTCACAATCACACATGGTGCAGCAGATCCTTCAACGGTTTGGGCTTCAGTTCTCCACCACACAGCCCATTCCTCTTGCTTTCGACCACAGACTCACCGTCCCTTTTCCCGACGAACCCTTTTGAGTCTAGTGGTCCCTACGAAGAGCTTGTGAGTTGCCTCATGTACTTGATGACTTGTATTCGTCCAGACCTTGCCTCCCCTCAGCATTCTCTCTCACTTTGTTGCAACCGGGAGACATCGTCGTGTGCACTGAACGGCTCCTGTGAAAGTAGCGAAGTACCCGGCGACTACATCAGGCGCCGGGCTTGTGCTTGGCGGGACACAGCCAGTTGTACTGACCGGTCACTGCGACTTTTCGTACGCCGACGACGTGGAAACCCTGAGTTCTTCTCGCTCGTTGAGGTCTACTCCGTTACTGCTTCAGTTTGGGTGTTGGAGCTGTGTCGTGGAGGTCTACTCGGATGTCGTCTGTGGCACACTCTAGCGCAGAGGCAGAGATCTATGCTGATACCATGGCTGCAGAGGAGCTTCGCTGGTTGACTTTCTTGCTCACTGACCTTAGTGAGCGGCCTCGCTCTGCACCGACCTTGTTCGTTGACAACAAGGCCATGATCCTCCTTTGTCGAGAGCCTCGACTGGAGAGCAGAATGAAGCACGACAACACCAGGCTCGCTTGAACTTCGTGGCCTCAGCGGACATTTTCACCAAGGCGCTAGCGCCTAATGACCACCACAGTTTTTGTCTACAGTTAGGCCTTGTTGACGCTGGTGCTCGGTTGCTGTAGCCTTATTGTTTGCTCCGCGTGTCGTTGTTTCTGTATGTACTTATGATTTCTTGAACTGGCCTTGTTGTTTTCTGTTTGTGCACGGGGTGTGTGGTGACTTTGAGATCCATCCTGAGCTTTGTTTTGTTGTTTTTCTTGACTGGTCTGGTGACCGCTCTTCTTCTTGCTTGTTTTGATGCACCTCACTTAGCCTATGTGCGTGTGTCAAATGTCATAATATCTTGTTAGGCTGCAGTGAGTAGCATTGTGGGGAGTACAACACATTTTTAGGGTTGCCTATGGGGGTGTGTCGAACTTATATGCTATAGTCTTTCTAGGCTGTATTGGGGTAGACAGTATGGGGTACAACTTTCTAGGGTTTCATATTTGTACCCAGCTCATTTCCTAGTTCACCATTCTCGTTCTAACTTCCACAGGATGAAGCAGCTAACGATGAACGCATTGACCTCCACAAGACACTTCCAGAGCCCAGGCGGAAGTATCTTGTCATCCACTTCCCCCTCTCTCTGTGCCATGCTGTTTTCCCCTAAGGGAGACCCCGACGCCCTTGACATACCAACTCCTTGCACATACCATGAAGCAGTGTCAGAGCAGTGGGCCTCTCAGTGGAAAGCGGCCATGGACTCAGAGATGGCGTCCTGGATATCCACAGGCACCTACGTCGACACAGTCCCCTCTCCGAGGCCGAACGTAGTCGACGGCATGTGGATCTTTAAGGTGAAGCAAACTCTTGGATCTCCGCCTTTCTTCAAGGCGCGCTACGTGGATTGGGGGTTCAGTTTGCGTGAGGGAGTTGACTTCTTTCAGACGTTCACCACAGCCCCGAAGATGACTACTCTTCGGATGTTACTTCACGTTGCAGCACAGCGAGATTACGAGCTGCATTCCCTCGACTTCTCTACTGCCTTTCTCCATGGCCGCCTGCATGCTAAGATCTGGTTGCGGCATCCTCCTGGATTCACTGGCATTTTCCCTCTTCGGACTTAGTGGAGCCTGAGACGACAAGTCTACGATCTTCGCCAGACGCCCTGTGAGTGGCACAACACGCTACGCACCACTTTGGCTGACCTTCGTTTCTGCCCTTCATCCGCCGACCCGTCGTTGTTTGTTCGCAGAGGCTCCACTCCTTTCTTTTTCCTTTCCTACGTCGACAAATTGGTCTTCGCTACACCAGACAGGGTTGCTCTGGCTGAGGTGAAGTTCGAACTGTAGAAGGGACACACGTGCACTGACCTGGGTGAACTGTGCCGCTACCTTGGCTTGCAGATCATTAGGGACAGAGTCGCTCGCACCATTACACTCTCACAATCACACATGGTGCAGCAGATCCTTCAACGGTTTGGGCTTCAGTTCTCCACCACACAGCCCATTCCTCTTGCTTTCGACCACAGACTCACCGTCCCTTTTCCCGACGAACCCTTTTGAGTCTAGTGGTCCCTACGAAGAGCTTGTGAGTTGCCTCATGTACTTGATGACTTGTATTCGTCCAGACCTTGCCTCCCCTCAGCATTCTCTCTCACTTTGTTGCAACCGGGAGACATCGTCGTGTGCACTGAACGGCTCCTGTGAAAGTAGCGAAGTACCCGGCGACTACATCAGGCGCCGGGCTTGTGCTTGGCGGGACACAGCCAGTTGTACTGACCGGTCACTGCGACTTTTCGTACGCCGACGACGTGGAAACCCTGAGTTCTTCTCGCTCGTTGAGGTCTACTCCGTTACTGCTTCAGTTTGGGTGTTGGAGCTGTGTCGTGGAGGTCTACTCGGATGTCGTCTGTGGCACACTCTAGCGCAGAGGCAGAGATCTATGCTGATACCATGGCTGCAGAGGAGCTTCGCTGGTTGACTTTCTTGCTCACTGACCTTAGTGAGCGGCCTCGCTCTGCACCGACCTTGTTCGTTGACAACAAGGCCATGATCCTCCTTTGTCGAGAGCCTCGACTGGAGAGCAGAATGAAGCACGACAACACCAGGCTCGCTTGAACTTCGTGGCCTCAGCGGACATTTTCACCAAGGCGCTAGCGCCTAATGACCACCACAGTTTTTGTCTACAGTTAGGCCTTGTTGACGCTGGTGCTCGGTTGCTGTAGCCTTATTGTTTGCTCCGCGTGTCGTTGTTTCTGTATATACTTATGATTTCTTGAACTGGCCTTGTTGTTTTCTGTTTGTGCATGTGGTGACTTTGAGATCCATCCTGAGCTTTGTTTTGTTGTTTTTCTTGACTGGTCTGGTGACCGCTCTTCTTCTTGCTTGTTTTGATGCACCTCACTTAGCCTATGTGCGTGTGTCAAATGTCATAATATCTTGTTAGGCTGCAGTGAGTAGCATTGTGGGGAGTACAACACATTTTTAGGGTTGCTATTTATACTGCTCCCGTCCATAATGCACTCATTCCGGTGTTACAATGTGATAACGTCGTACATAAACCTACCAATGATACTATGTCGGAAAGCAAGAATAACTACTCAGGGGCATACAGTATTGTACAATTTGTACCTTTTACAGAGTAACCCAACCTAGCCTAACATATGCACATACAAATATGGAGTGTATTAATTCACAATATGTGAAATCCTAGGTACCCTGTAAAAATTACAGCGATAAAAAGCACATGTGTTACATAAAATAGGAAATTTTCTTTGAAACATTCTATACAGACCATCGGGCTGTTTTTTACTACTGCTGTTATCGACTCCTTTGATTGTTGCTATGTCGCATATTCTCCGCCGAGATGGCTGCCCTCCCCTCCAAACCAAACCTAACTCGTCAAATCCGTGAGGTTGGGGGTACATTATTCAGCGCGGTGCTGCTGGTTGCAGAGGAGCGCTGTGCTTCTTGACAAAACCTTCTACAGGCTCGGGACCTTGTTGGAACCTGCGCTGCTTTGGTGCTTTCACGCCAAGCCGTGAAGATTTCGGTTCGGAGTTCATTCGGGCATGCTTTGGCTGTGTTGTAGTGCAATCCACACGACCCACATCCGAGGCTCGCGTCATCCTGAAGTCGCATTCTCACCCATCATTCTTGCCTACCCTCGCCCCGCTCCCCGCCAAATTCGCGTTAGCATCTTATCCTCCAATTAGTCCGAGTCCCGGCCGTATTTCTCGCAGCCATGCGCATCCACGCCCTCGCCTCCCAGTATCACGCCCCTGCTTCCCATCCCCTCGTTCAACCCAGTCTACAAATAGAGCCCTTCGATACTCACACCCGTCAACTCCTCGTGACCTCCTCGTCTTCTCGTTTGTTCACAGCACGCTCCGTCTTTTCATCGCCGCCTACCGGTGACTAAAATCTGTTTGAAGCTGATTTTGAGAATTCTCATCTACCCCGTGACTCATTCTCCCTGCGTGGATGGCGCCATCTCTCCCCAGCTCTCCCCCGCGTGCCGGCGCGAGTTCGAGCGCGAGGCGGCGCGCGATAGTGTTTTACGACGTCGAGACGACCGTGCCGGCCGCGCGAGGCGAGAAGCACGCGATGCTCGAATTTGCCGCTGTTGAGCTCGAAATCGAGGGTTTCTACGAAACTTCGAGCTACTCCACGTACCTGCGGCCGCCGGAGGGAGTCCGTATTTCGCGACGGACGGTGGAGATCAACGGGATCACGAGCGACACGGTGCGCAACGCGCCGAGCTTTGGCGAAGTGGCGGATAGGATTTACGAGCTCATGGACGGTACGCCTCGATGACGTCACCTCTTACATCGCTTTTCTACCCTGGCTTGCTCGCAGTCACTTTCATCGCGATCACTCATTCCCGCTCCCCTCCCCACCGCCTCTTGCTGTTTTTCTACGGCGTGATCCACATGATTAGGCATCTCAAGGTCGCCGTCGCCTCGCGTCATCCCTTATTTAATCAGATTGGGATCCCCTTACCGTCGTGCTCCATGTCTCTCCTCTCCGTGCTCGGTTGGGCACCAGGCAAGGTGTGGGCGGGCCACAACATCAGCCGGTTTGACAACGCGCGCATCCGAGAGGCCTTCAGCAGCCTGGGCCGAGCGCCGCCTGTGCCGGCTGGCGTGGTGGACACGTACGACCTGCTGAGGAGAGAGTTCGGCACGCGAGCTGGCAACATGAAGGTGTGCTGTGTGATGTGCGAATGAGAAGCGCCAACATGTTACATGACTGGGAGGCGGTGGAATCATGAATAAGAGCGAGGGTGGGGTGGCAAGGGCAGTGGATGGAGGCCATGCTAGCATATCTCCAGGCTGTTCCTTCCAGCTGGGGTGGTGGCCTCGTAGACCTGCTGAGCAGGGAGTTGGGCATGTGGGCTGGCGACATGGAGGTGGCATGGAGGTGACGGGTGCTGCTGTGTTGTGGGTCGTGTGGTGTGCGAATAAGAGGTGGTAGCATGAACGATGAAGGTAAGGGTGGTGTGGTAAGGGCTGTAACAGGAGCACATGTTACATGTGGCATGGTCCCACGCATGCCTTCGCCCAGCGTAGTGGACACATACGACCTGCTCGGGCAGGAGTTAGGTACTCAAGCAGGCAGCAAGGTGGTATGGGCAGGGCAGTACATGGTGGCGAGGCGAGGCGAGGCGAGGCGAGGCGAGTCGAGGCGAGGCGAGTCGAGGTGAGTCGAGGTGAGGCTAGGGCAAATGTGTGGTGCTTGGCGAGGAGGGAGTTGGGCGCCAGGCGGGGTGGCATGAATGTGAGGACTGGCAGGGCAATGGGCGAATGTCGTGTGGGCGAATGTGAGGACAGGCAAGGCTCGCCCGTGCCTGCGTGTGAGGAGTGTGCGTGGTGACAAGGGAGGTGGGTACAAGGGCGGGTGATTCCAAGGTATGGATCTCACACACGCACAAGCAGGCGGCGAGGGTAAGGGTTGGTAGGCGCAGCGCATGGAGTGGTGGCCACGTGGGCATGTGGGCTCGTGACATGGAGTTGGGCATGTGGGCTGGCGACATGGAGGTCACATGGAGGTGACGGGTGCTGCTGTGTCGTGGGTCGTGTGCTGTGCTGTGCGAGTGAGAGGTGGTAGCATGAAGGATAAAGGTAAGGGTGGAGTGGTAAGGGCGGTAACAGGAGCGCATGTTGGCATGGCACATGGTCCCGCCCATGCCGTCCGGCCAGAGTAGTAGACACGTACGACCTGCCCGGGCAGGACTTGGGCAATCGAGCAGGCAGCGAGGTGGTATGGGCAGGGCAGTAGATGGTGGCGAGGCCAGTAGATGGTGGCGAAGCTAGGGTGCATGTGCGCGCCTGTGCTGCCTGGCGAGTAGGGAGTTGGGCGGCGGCAGGCGGGGCAGCATAGCATGAGTGAGGACTGGGGCAGTGGACGAATGTGGTGTGAGGGTTGGACAAGGATCGCCACTGCCTGCGTTTGATGAGTGTGTGTGATGAAAGGTGAGCTCGGCACAGGGGCGGGTGATTCCAAGGTATGGATCTCACACACGCACAAGCAGGTGGCGAGGGTAAGGGTTGGTAGGCGCAGCTAGTGACTGGTGGAGTGGTGGCCACGTGTGCCCTGTTACCGGGAGAAGAGGGACGGGGAGGGATACAGGTGGCAAGGGAGGCGTCAGGGCTGGTCATTGCAATCGCACTGCTTCTTTCTCGTCAAGGTCCTCCGGCCTTCCTTTCACCATCTTCCTCCGATCATGTTGTCCTCATCAATCTTCTTAATGCACTCCTCCTCCTCCATGCCATCTGTTCGTTCCCTCCCCTTCATCCCAAAAGATGGCATCGCTGGGAGCCTACTGCGGCCTGGGCATGCAAGTGCACAGGTGGGCCCTGAGTCAAGCTGAGTCAGCCGTGAGATGGGTTGAGTCAAGCTGAGTCAGCCTTGAGATGGGTTGAGTCAAGGTGAGTCAGCCGTGGGATGTCAAGCACGGAGGTGGGATTCACTTTTCGAGTCGGGAGTTGTGAGTCATGAGCCGTGAGTGGGGAGTGAGCTCAAGACCTGAGGGAGAGGCTCAAGTAGTGCGAGTTGACCTGAAGGTGCTGCTGCTCCTGTCAGTTTGCGTATAGCCCTACTCGTGGCTCTTGCTGTTGACTACGTTGACTTCGCTTACTGCGTTGACTGTTTGACCCTGTTGCATGTTGACTGCGTTGACTCTGTTGGCTGTGTTGACGTGATGTCTATATCGACTGCATGGCATGGCAGGGCGATGGAGGACGTGAGGATGAACATTGACGTCTTCAAGCAGTGCTCCGCCATGCTCATGCTGGTGAGCTGCCCTTGCTGTGCCATGGCCCATGCTCGCATGCACACTTGCTGCCTTTCTCACATACACTACCACATGTCGTTTTTGTAACATAAGGAGCAGTAGAATAATTGTGGTCCAATCGTCTCGCAGCTTACAATTATGTTTTGTTTTAGGTCTAACCGTGGTCCTATGGTCTAGTGGTTATGACGTCAGACTCTGAATCTGAAAGGCCGAGTTCAATTCTCGGTAGGACCTTCTTCTTTGGGGCCTGCCAGAGTCCAAAACGTCACTTCGAAATGTTTAAGGTTGACGTGTGAGCAAAATAAGAAGGCAGTTTTCTGTGGAATTTCTTGGAGGAATGTTGTGAGAAATACATGGGTCTAAGTATTTCTTGCATACTCTTTCCCTGCATCACATCATCACCTTTACCTCCTCCATCCCACTTTCTCCCCTTTCATCCACCTCTCCCCTTTCATCCATCTCTCCCCTTTCATCCACTCGTCGTATGCAGGAAATGTGTCACCCTACTCTCTTCCACGCGCCCTCTACCCCGCCTCGCAGCAAGACACCCCCACGACACACCGCCACCGCTGATGCGACTGCAGCTGTGAAGGCAGCAGCTGCTTCAGCAGCCAACGCAGTGGCAGCAGCAACACCAGCAACACAGAAACCAGCAGCAGCTGCTTCAGCAGCCAACGCAGTGGCAGCAGCAACACCAGCAACACAGAAACCAGCAGCAGCAAAGAACGCCTCACCAGCAGTCTCATCCCTAGCAGGAGCAGCAACAGCAACAGCAAAATCAGCAGCAGGTGTATCCTCACCCAGTGCTCAATCTCCTGCTGTTAGTGCCGCTGCGTCATCGGCTGTGGTGGTGTCTGCCACGTCAGCTTTGCTAAGTCGGGCGTTAGAGTCCTTGAAGATTGAATCTGCTGCCACGTGTCAGAATCTGGTTGCTGGTGCCAGCCAAGCCAAGTCGGAGGAGGGAGATGCTGAGGGGGAACTTGAGGATGGGGAGGTGGTGGGGGAGGAGGAGGAAGAGGAGGAAGAGGAGAAAGAGGAGGAAGAGGAGAAAGAGGAGGAAGAGGAGGAAGAGGAGGAATGGGAGGAATGGGAGGAATGTGATTATAAGGAAGCAAGATTCCACAAGAAAGACAAGCACACAGAGAGCATTCCTTTAAGCAAGGGAGAGGGCAAAGAGGACGGCGAGGCACAGGGGGAGGGGGGGAGGGAGGAGCAGCCGGGGGAAAGGCAGGCAGGTGTCGAGTGCGTGGTGTGTCCGCAGTGGTGGCAGCAGCAGCAGGAGCAGCACGCCAAGGAGGGCGGCCCCTGGGCCATCACTTGCGCTCACTTCGACCCCTTCTGGCTGCAGGCACTGTGCGTGCCTGCTGCTGCTGCTGGTAGTGGTGCTGCAGGCGGCAATGCAGGGAACGGCAGCTGCAGAGGCAGCAGGGGCAGCGGGTGGGGAGGGGGCAGGCGGTACAGCTTGAGGGGAGGGATTGCTCGGGTGTACCCGAATGGCTTCACGCCACAGCCACCATCTGATGCTCATGATGCCGGTGCTGCAGTGGAGGGTACGCCGGCGCGTGTGCTGCTGTTGTACAATGGGCGGTCACTGCACGTGAGGGAGTGTGGAGCGAGGATCAAGATGAGGTGCGTGGTTCAATTTAAGTGCTCACGAGTGTTGATGTCTGGGGTTCATTGGAATGAAGAAATTCTCTAGACTGAGGCATGGTGACGTGTGTTGACCATGAGACAAGCTGTCTTTCGATGGGACGATGACGCTAAGGTCGTGGCGGTGAGGGCACTTGTGACGAGGTTGTGCTGAAACGATGAGGGGATTTGAGCACGGTGAGTGGGAGTGTGCCTGGTGGATGCTGAACGAGCTCGATAAGAGCATACGATTTTAACATCTTTGTTCTTTCCCTCCTCGCGGCCTCTCCGGTGCATTCCTATATTCCTTTGCCTCTTCCGACATGCACCGAAACCTGCTTTTCCTCTTCTGGCCTTGTAGTGGTGCCTGTCAACTTTAGACTTCTCAATCTTCCACATCCTCATCTCCTGTCCTGCCTAATGCACAAATCCCCTCGCCTCGCGTCCTCTCTCCACCTCTCTCCCCTCCCCTCCCCCACCAGTGTGTCGTACTGCTTTGGATCTGATGAGGCGACGGGCTGCCCGTCCTTCTCCCCTCTCCCCCTCTCTTGCCCATCTCCACATTCCCCGCCCTCTCCCCCCCTCCCCTCCCCCCACCAGTGTGGTACCGCTTTGGATATGACGAGGCGACTGGCAGCCCGTCCTTCTCCCTCCATCCCCACCTCCTGCCTATCTCCCCCCTCTTCACCCGCCTTCCAATCTTCCCCTCTTCCCCCTCTCAAATGGTCCGTTGTATTAATTCAGCAGGGGTACAGATATGCAGTTCTATCCATGATAACCTCGATCCCATAAGCCCATCAACTCACACCTCACCCCCCCCCCCTCCCCCTCTCAGCCCCCGAGAGAGAGAGAGAGGCGGTCCGACACCCACTTCTCTCTCTTTCCTCCCCTCTCCCCCGCTAGTGTGTCGGACCATTTTGCCTTTGAGGCTTTGACGAGGCAACAGGCTGGCCGTCCTTCACCCCTCTCGCCCTCTCCCCCTGTCTCTTCCGTCCTCCTTACCAGTGTGTCGGACCGCTTTGCCTTTGATGAGGCATCAGGGCGCCCGTCCTTCTCTTTGCTCCTCGCCGTCTCGCCCGCCGCTGCTGCCGCCATCACTGCTTGCTTCGACGCACTGCTGGCATGCGTGGGGAGTGGCAGCAGCAGTGGGGGGGATTGCAAGGAGGCAGCAGCAGCAGGGGTAAAGGGCGCGGAAGAAGAGGAGAGGCGTGGTGGGTGCAGGGAGGAGGTGCGGTCGCCCTTTGTGGCGGCATGGGAGGACGAGGATGGCACGAGAGTGATCCGAGTCAAGTGAGTCTAGTCTGGTGCTTTGGCGTCATCATGGTCTGGCTCTTGATGAACTGTGTGCCTTTTAACCGTTATTCTAAACGCACCGCTTCCACCTCCGTGCTATTGCTCACACAATTGCACTCCCCCCCTTCAATTTCCTGCAATATTCTCCCTCTACCTCTTCCCCCTCCCTCCCCCCCTCCTCCTCCCTGTTTTAACTCATTCCCCACCGCATCTTGCCAGGCTGGCAGCTGATGGCGTGAGGGGGAATGCTGAGTGGCGCACCAAGTTCTTCTCCTGTGCTGCACCGCACACAACCGCTCTCAACCCAGCCAATGTCAGCACCGGCTCTCCCACATGCGCCACCAGCAACGACAGCAAGCAGCAGTCACCCGCATCGCAGCAGCTTCACCCTGTGGACCCGCAGCAGCTGCACCTGCCCGTTGACCCACACATGGTGGCCGCGGCTCTACCAGCAGGGGCGGTGGTGGACGTGGCCTTCCTCGTCGACTCCTACTGTGTCAATGGCACCAGGGGGCTGCGCTTCGTGGCAGATGTGATCGTAGTGAGGGGGTGAGCGCACTGGTGTTGCCTGCATCAGCCGATGGGGAACGGACCGGCCCCACACATGGCGCGTGCATGAGCTAGAGGTGGACGTGATACAGGAATTGCTTGCCCGCCCTCTCCCTCTCGAGTCACGACCCCCACTGCATGGCCTTCCATTTCTCTCCTGCTGTCGCCACTGTAGGCGTGGCTTGTCGGGGTGATGCTCTCTGTGTGTAGGGGATTGGAGAAATGGTAAAGGACTTGCTGTAGGCTTATAGCAGATGTGATTATAGCGAGGGCCATGGAGCCCTGGAGGCAAATGATGGAGGCTAGGGATTCTGGAAAGGCATGATACCGTAGATTAGAAATATATATTGGAAAAATGACATATTTCTATTGCTCTTGAACCTTCAGCTGTTGCATTCACCACATGCCCTGCCCATCTCGCCCACTTATAGCTTTCGATCGCACTGCCTGCCTGTCTTCACGCATGCCCTTTCACTACAATCCCTACCACACGCCCCTCACTAGAATCACGTCATCCTTTCCCAGCAGTTGCAGCACCCCTTCAAGCTCTGAGCACCTGGGCACACCGACCTTCACCAGACGGGACAAACTGCCCAGGCCCGTTCGTGTGCAGCGATGTGCTGTGCAGCCTTGAAGAATGTTTGTTGGGGGATGGAACGAGGGAAAGGGAGGAGGGAGAGGGAGGAGGGGAGGTGGCGCAGGCAAGGCAAATGGACAAGCTCCATAAGGGAGGGCGAAAAAGGAAGCTGGGCGGAGGTACTGTGGTACTGAGCACTCTCATGCCGACCGGACACGGAGCTCTCTCGCACTAAGGGTGCATTCCTGTGGGGACACTTGTGTCTCAATCCCCGTTTTCCCGAGTCGCGCCTGTTAATTTTCCCAATGTTGTGTCACAAACATCGAATGTACCGCGATGTAGGGCGACATATTGGCAGGTTCAGTTGGACACGTTTCACTGGCGGGGATCAAAAAGAGATGTACAGGTGTGTGCATTTGACTGGGTGACAGTACACCCGTATTGTCAACCTCCGAGCAGGGGCGTGGTTTCGATGCGCGGGATCTTTTCCCTCACAAAATTGGCATTTTCGGATGTCCAGGTGCATGTGGTCGTGTCGGGCATTTCGAGTCGCGTGCGATTCTTTAACAATGACGGGTCGTTTCACAATTCGACAGCGATGTCAGCGCGTTTCACGCTGACCAATAATAAATACAGTACAAGTCGCCGAAAGCCGATTCGCATTTGGGACACAACACAGTTTATGTTGTTTTTGGGTGTCACAAAGTGATTGAGACACAAGTGTCCCCACAGGAATTATCCTAAGATCTATGCAATGCTATTGCAACACCAGTAACTGCCACGTATTCTGCTGGTCCTTCTTTCCACCGTCGCACCGTGCACCCTTGCATCGCGCTTTCAGTGCAGATGTGTCATGGTGCGGTGTCGGATGGGCACGTACACTCAGTTCAGTGTGAAACTACAAACACAAAATTAAACAGCAAACATCCAACAGGTGCAATTTGAAGCAAAAAGGTCTCGGCTTAAAGCCAGGATCTCAAGTAAGAGAATTGGCCTTCAATTGCAAAACACTTGCAGCGCTTGTTACCCTATTTTTGTAGGCGAATCGACTGGCTGGTTAGGAAAGTGAGCGTGCGGCACACCCACGATTTTGCCCCTAGAGCAAATGCAAAACATTTTGCTGGTACATGAGATTGTTGTGTGTGACGAGAAATTGCAGGCATTGGAGCTTCGTCACCGAACCAGTTTCCGAGCCTTGCTTGGTTCGGACTGAATTTGCGATTTGTCTTTACTTCGCACCCCTCGCTTCACACCTCGTCAGATTGTTCACCTCGCTAACCAATCGCAGCCCAGCTCCCCTCACCAACTGCAAAACAATTGAACTACTTGAGATCCTGGCTTTAATGCCAAATTCGCCACATGCTCTAGAGATCCATGGGTAGTGGTAGTGACGGGCACGCCAACTTCTAGGCAACACAACTAGCAAACTGCTGCATGGAAGTAGATTGGCATGCAGAGCAGGATGAACTTGGCTCTGTGCACCTGTCGAATCGGGAATGCAGAGAAGGAGAGGTGATGACAGGCAGGGAAAGACAAGGAAGATGAAGGCTGAAAAAGAGGCTACGCATCATGCTGCCTGAAATGACGCACAGTTATGAGGATGGCAATTGTGACCGGTCAGAGGGATGAGGGTAGGATCAATGGATGACGCCAGTGAGGGTAAAGGAAAAAGGGCAAGGCATAATAAATGGTAGCTTGGAAGATAAGCGGGGGAACCAACCTCTGTCCCCACTCACCTGCACCATGTGTGCATGTGTGCCCCACCCACCTGCACCCCACCCACCTGCACCGCGGCCACAACGGCCTCATTCAGCAGCAAGCGAGTCCTCCAGCCGAGTCAGCTGCACCAGATCCGCAGGAAGGGAGGGGAGGGAGGTGTCCTGCAGCAGCACCAGCTGCTGCACGTGGGTGAGGCTCTTCGGGAGGTGCTGCAAGGCGGTGCAGCGAATCAACTCCACTTTGCGCAGCTGGGACAAGCAGCTCACGTCCTCAGGTAGTGAAGTGAGCTGTGGTGCATGGACGGTCAATGACGTCAGCTTTGAGAGCTCTAGTATGACGCGTGGCAGCTCTTCCGGCGCCCATGAAAGAAGCTTCAGCTGCCGTAGCTCTGGCAACGCTGCTGCCATGTTTACCGGGAGGCTGCGGATTCCCGGCGCGTCTATGAGCAAGCTGCGCAGGCGAGGAAGAACATTTGAGGGAAGCAGGAACTCCTGACTCATTCCTTCGAGACGCATCTCGAGCTCCTCCAACTGATTCAGGCGCGCCTGGCTTACTCCTTCAAACTCCTGCTCCAGCTGCTGAATCGGCCCCTGCTGTCCCAGGACCAACAACCTCTCGGCCGCTGCATGCCCACATACAACCCCAACGCACTTCAGCTTCAGCACCCTCAGCTGTGACAGCTTGGAAATATCCACAACAAGGGAAGAGCCTTCCCGGAAGGGCCCCAAGCAGAGAGTCTCAAGAGAGGGGGGCAGACCAGCAGAGGCTTCGCTCAGCTGCGGACATCCCATCAGCTCCAGCCGCTTCAGCCCATGAGCGCATCCAGCCCCATGGGTGCTTCCGAGAGCGAGTTGCAGTTTCTGACCTCGAGGGTGTGAAGTGCAGTAAGCCGTGTTAGAGAGCCAGGAAGCTGGCTGACTGCAAGCTGAACGATCTTCAGCTCCTGTAGACTGCTCAGCTCCCCCAAGGCTTCTGGAAGCTCGGCTGGCCAGCATTCATTCAGGTCAAGGCTTGTGAGGGAGGAGAGGGTGGTGAAGGAAGCCGGAAACCGGCAGCCACGCAACCTGAGAGCCTCCAAGCTGCCAAGGCCCCCAACATTCTCTGGCAAGGCAAGACCCTGATCTGATTCTGAGAAGCAGAGCACCTTGAGAGCCGTGAGACACAAGGCATCTGCTGGCACCTGCCAAAACTCCCTGCACTCAATTATGAAGAGTGCTTCCAGAGTCGTAAGATGAGAGAATGAAGGCGGGAGTGCGGTTAAAGGCAGATGCTCCAGCACCAGGAGTTTTAAAGCGGGCAGGTGATCGAAGCTGCTGGGTAAGGCATGAAATTCGTAACAACCTGAGATGATGAGAGTTTCCAGGCTCAGAAGAGTGACGGTTTCAGGCAGGTGAGTGAAATCACCGCATTGGCGAACCGTCAGCTTGCGAAGGCACGGCATAAATTCTCCGATGCAGTCTGGAAGTGTTTCTAACCCTCTGCAGCTGGTGATGAGCAGCTCCTCTAGCCCCGCGAACTGCCATGCTGATGAGAAGACCATGGCGTCCTCATAAGGACAGTTCGTTAAGAACTCGAGAGATTTAATGCACGACGGCAGCGGCACGCTTGCGGCACACGTCGGCTGATGGTTAGAGCGCGGGGTGAAGGTGGAAAGATGGGCCAATCGCGGGAGGTGGAGGAGTTTGGACAAGTGCTGACGGGTGATGGGGACTGTGATGTACGCAGTGGTGAGCGCAGTGAGGTTCTCGAAACCTGGACTCTCCAACAGTGAAACGTTATTGACAACAAGGCAGTCCAGATGTCTGAGCTGGAAGACTGAGTCCGGTAACTTTGTTCCTCTTGGGAGGCAGAAGAGGGAAAGCTGCTTCAAGTCCGGGAGCTTCTGGATGAACAAATCCAATCCCTCCGTGCTTATACGATTCCTCTCCCTCCTGCGATAATGGTGCACAGGAAATCCGTCGCCCTCGTTACACGGTAGTGCAAAGGTCCTCCCCACGTGGAGGCGAGTCAGCTTCGGGCACGAATCAGCGAGGTGAGCGAGGAAGGCGTCGCCGATGCTGTTGTCGCTGAGATGCAGATGAGTGAGGTTCGGGAAGCACGCGACGGCAGCTGAGACATCATCGCAAGATACCGCGAGGCCTTCTTTAACGAGTAGCGTGGTCACGTGAAGCTTCATCACGCGGCGCCAACGACTGCAGACAGACGCCGCGATGAAGAGATCTTGAGTCACGTCTGAGTCTGGAGGAGAAGCTGGCACTGGCGTCTTGACTATCACATTTGTTTGATTTGAATACTCATCGGAAAGCGACCAATAAATAGAACTGGAGGTCCAGACGCTGTCAACGTAGGATTCGCAGGAAACGGGCTGCTTGAAGGAGCGCGTAATGATCATAAGGAGAATATCGTCTGGCAGACTGTGGATGCTCGTAGGAGTCTCTATCTTGGATGCCAAAATGGAAAAATGCGAAGGCGTAAAAAGGAATCGGAGGATTAGGAGGTACTAGTACTTGGGAAGAAATCGGCCAGATCCCTCCGAGAACCCCCCTTTGCCGCTGCGGGATGTCTCCTCCCTCGTTCATTTATTGTTCGTTAAAGCTTTCGTATACATTTGAAAAAGGGAGGTTCAAAAGTTTTGAAATCTGAAAGATTGGTAACCCAGCAACAGCTAGTTTCACTCGCTTCACAAGGGAGGTGATCTCCCCGACACCCAGGGCTCACTGGTGATTCAAAATTTTTGGAATAACAAAAGTATACGAAATCCAGTCTATGTGAGATCTACGCCACTACGCTCAACAGGCAGCATAAATCGTAGCAAAGCACATCGCGACAACAGCCAGCGCAAATCACTCCCGTTTCCGACACAAACTTAGACGCGTGGGGCAGTTTAGTGTAATTACACGTCCGAGCACTCGTCAGTTCGCCCTCTAACACGGCGAGCCCGCCGGACCCCTTCTCACAGCCTCGCCTCGTCGTCCGTCGCGTCGCCTCACCACGCGGCCTCTTCACGCCACCGTGAACGCGCACGCAGCGTCTCAAACTGCCGAACACGCACGATCACAGTCGCTTCCCAATCGCGCGGCCTCGCTACCACGTTTCCGCAGTAGCGGCGGCAGCCGCAATTGAGGTCGCGAGGGTAATCAGAAACAACTGCTCCCCATTACCTCTTCCCGCCTCCCCGTTTTCCCTTCCCGCTCCCCATTACCCCTTCGCGCCTCCCCGTTTCCCCTTCCCGCCACCCCATTTCCTCTTCCCGCTCCCCATTACCCCTTCCCGCCTCCCCGTTTCCCCTTCCCGCTCCCCATTACCCCTTCCCGCCTCCCCGTTTCCCCTTCCCGCCTCCCCGTTACCCCTTCCCGCCTCCCCGTTTCCCCTTCCCGCCTCCCCGTTTTCCCTTCTCGCTCCCCATTACCCCTTCGCACCTCTCCGTTCTCCCCAATTCCCCTTCCCGCCACCCCATTTCCTCTTCCCGCTCCCCATTATCCCTTCCCGCCTCCCCGTTTCCCCTTCCCACTCCCCATTACCCCTTCCCGCCTCCCCAATTCCCCTTCCCGCTCCCCATTACCCCTTCCCTCCTCCCCGTTACCCCTTCCCGCTTCCCCATTACCCCTTCCCCGCCTCCCCGTTTCCCCTTCCCGCCTCCCCGCTTCCCCTTCCCACTCCCGATTATCCCTTCCCGCCTCCCGATTACCCCATTTTCCCCCCATGCTCTCCCTCATTCCCCCCCCCCTTCTCCCTCTCATTCCCCCCATGAAGCCCCTCATCCCCCCCTTTCTCCCTCTCATCTCCCCCCCTGCTCCCTGTCATGTCCCCACCTTCTCTCTCTCATGTCCCCCCCTTCTCCCCCTCATTTACCCCCATTCTCCCTCTCATTTCTTCCCCTTCCCCCTCTTATATCTCCCCCTTCTCCCTCTCATTCCCCCCATGAAGCCCCTCATTCCCCCCCTTTCTCCCTCTCATTCCCCCCTCTGCTCCCTGTCATGTCCCCCCTTCTCTCGCTCATGTACCCCCCTTCTTCCTCTCATTTCCCCCCCTTATCCCTCTCATTCTCCCCCCTGCTCCCTCTCATTCCCCCCTTAACCACTCAGTTAAATGCCACGTAATCTCCCTCTCATTTCCCCTCATCCCCCCCACCTTCCCCTCTCGTTTCCCCCCATCTCCCTCTCCTTTCCCCACGTGCTCCTTCTCATTCCCCCCCCTTCTCCATCTCGTTTCCCCCCCGCTCATTTCCCCCCATCTCCTCTCATTTTCCCCCTCTTCCCCTCTCATACGCTTCTAACCCCTACCGTACCCTTGGATGGTCGCATGCCATACTCATCCATCCGCTGCCATACACTGCCACACCCTTCCATCTCCTCCCATACCCTTCCATACGCCAGCCAAGCCCGTCCCTCATTCTGCCATACCTTGCCATACTCTGCCATACCTTTCCTTCCATACCCTGCCATTCCCTTCCATTCCCTGCATTCGTGCAAGGGCATATGACTAGTCACGTGATTGGTATCGAGGAATCCAGGGTTGGGTGATAAAGGTTATGTATTTAGTGATACAATTGTAAGGACTCGTTTTATAAAACATGTTGTGAGGCTACGAGCTTGATTTTGGCCCTGAAGTGCCAAAAAATGTACTAAATTTGGGAGTGTATGCATGCTTCTTGAATCACAAATGCATAGTAATAAATACGCAGGGAGCTGCCGCACAAGTTGCCGGCTGCTGTTGCGTGCCTGGCGTTGGTGTGCAGCAGAGGGGAGCGATGCATTGTGTGCTGCTTGGTGGACCTGCCGGTGAGAGGAGTGGGGGGGTCGGGGCTGAGAAAGGGACGAGGAAGGGGAAAAAGAAGGCACATATCAGGGTGAGCTCAAGCAAAGCCTGGAGAGAGTGCCCTTAGTCATCCAAGTGGCGTGAAAACGGTTGTCTAGGCAAGTCCCAAGGCATGCGACGGGACGCGCACAGTACCTGAGAGGCGTGAACGATGGGACAAAACTTGAGATGAGTCGAGCCCGCTTGCACCATCTGCCGCAGCAGCCTCGCCAACTCCTCCTCCTCCCTCTCCCTCCGCCTCGCTTCCTCATCGAGCCTCGCCTGCACCTCCTGTTGCTGCTTCAGTGCTACCTGATCACATATTGAAAAGGGAAGTGGTGACGCGAGGTTTGAAATGAGCGGTAGCAGTGCACATCAAACTAAGATTCACATCAAACAGCCGGCAATGGACTTATCCGCCCGCCCCACACTTGACCCCGCCCTCACCTGCATGTCATATGCAGGGGCACCAGAGGTTCAGCCCATGTTCCCCATGACAAACCCAATGTTCCCGATGCTGTAGCTGCCGCTGACGCAGCAGTGACAGCAGGGGCAACTGAAACCTTGGCAACTGGATCCAGTTGCCTGCACCTGCCATTACTCCTCCCCATTCACCCTCACACCCTGCTCGCTCCCCCGTCCACTGCTGACATGGCTGCTCAATCCGCAGGAGCAGAAGGATGGTCAGCACCGGGGCAGTTGCAGAAACACACGGGTTGGGGCCAACAGCCTGCGTCGGCAGTCCAAAGTCAAAGGAGTGGGGCGAACACTCCTTCCCACTGACTGCTCCTCGCCTCATGTCTCATACCCTCCTCCACCATGCCTTCCCCTCCTTTCCTGAGCTACCCCCTGCTCCGGGGGGAACACCAAAGGAAGGAACACTGGGTGTGGCAGCAGGGGCAGCTCCGGCAAAGGCAGCAGCAGCGGCAGTATGGGCAGGGACTGAAGGAGCGAGTGGGATCTCATGGGAGGTGAGATGACCCTGGAAGGAGGGGGGATGAGAAATTAAGGCATGGCGATGGGAGAGCGTGGAAGGGAGAATGAAAGGGAGGGAGTGGGGGGCAGTATTTTGCAAGGGATCCACCCTGTAAGGGAGGGAAGATGAAAAGGACGGGAGGGCAGTGGGGCTATGCCAGAGCTGGGAGGGAAATGAAGGGGAGCAAGGTGGGGAAAATAAGCGGAGAAGGGGGGGAAATGAAGGGGAGCAAGGTGGGGAAAATTAGGGGAGAAGCGGGGGAAATGAAGGGGAGCAAGGTGGGGAAAATAAGGGGAGAAGGGGGGGAAATGAAGGGGTGAAGGAGGGAAATGAGAGGGAAGCGGGGAAGCGAGAGTGAGCAAGGGTGGAAGTGAGAGGGAAGCGGGGAAGCGAGAGAGCAAGGGTGGAAGTGAGAGGGAAGCGGGGAAGCGAGAGTGAGCAAGGGTGGAAGTGAGAGGGAAGCGGGGAAGCGAGAGTGAGCAAGGGTGGAAGTGAGAGGCGGCAAGGGGGGAAATGAGAGGGAGAAGGGGGGGAGATGAGAGGAGTAAGGGGGGAAATGAGAGGGAGGAGGGGGGGAGATGAGAGGAGCAAGGGGGGAAATGAGAGGGAGAAAGGGGGGAGATGAGAGGAGCAAGGGGGGAAATGAGAGGGAGAAGGGGGGGAGATGAGAGGAGCAAGGGGGGAAATGATTGGGAGAAGGGCTGGAATGAGGGTGAGCAGGGGGCGAAGTGAGAGGGAGAAGGGGAATATGTCAGTGAGAGCAGGGGGCGAAATGAGATGGAACAAGGGGGGAAATGAGAGTGAGCAAGGTCGGAAGTGAGAGGCGGCAAGGGTGGAAATGAGGGGAACCAGTGGGGGAAGTGAGAAGGAGCAGGAGGGGAAATGAAGGGGAGCAGTGGGGCAAATGAGAGGGAGAAGGGGGGGAAATGAGGGCGAGAAGGGGGGGGGGGGGGCTGAGGGGAAGAAGGGGGGGGGATGAGGGGGAAGAATGGGGGGAATGAGGAGAAGGTTGGGACCTGAGGGGAAGAATGGGGGGAATGAGGGGGTGAAGGGTGGGAACTGAGAGGGAGAAGGGGGGGAAATGAGGGGGAGAAGGGTGGGAACTGAGAGGGAGAAGGGGGGGAAATGAGGGAGAGAAGGGGGGAAAAAGAGGGGGAGAAGGGGGGGAAATGAGGGGGAGAAGGGAGGCATAAGGAGAGGGAGTAGGGGGGGTAGTGAGGGGGAGAAGGGGGGAGGGGGGGTAATTAGAAGAGGATGCGCTTAGCGGGAGAGGCGCCACGCGGGCGCTAAGCGGGAAAGGTGCGCAGCGGGTGCGGCGCTAAGCGGGAGAGGGTGAGGCGACACGCGGGAAAGGCGCGCAGGAGGTGAGGCGCTACGCGAGAGAGGTGCGCAGCGGGTGATTC